CTTCCTACATTTTGATACAGTTTGTTAGTTTGGTTTAGAAACAACCCTGCAGTTAGCACAATTCCACCTGGGAAGGAGCATGTGTGCTGTCTCTTCCTCTCCCAGGCCCTGGAAATATCAAGAAACAGAGATTTTAAATATTTTAGAAATTCTGTGCCCACAGCAATGACTGCGTTTTAAAACTTTGATGGCCATTTATTATTTACAAGGGCATTTTAAGGGGTAAATTTCAGATCACAGCAACCTGTATGTTAATTGCCAAGAGCTCATTTGAAGATGTGGTTTGAAGGCCTCTTACAGGAATCTGGAAGAGAAGAGGACGTCCTGAAAAGCAAAGCTAGGTTTTTCCCAGTGTGTTGCACAGGTACAACGCTACTCTGCTGCGAGTTCATGGCAATCAAGGCAGTAAGGAAAAAGAAATACAAATGCCTTAAATCCTGAAAAGCAATCTCTGACTTGAAGTTCATGTTTGTGCGGCAGATTGTCATATCATGGTCAATCCCAACCATTGAATTTCTATGCGCATTAAGCAGCTGCCCTTGTGGAAGCAATATTTTATACTTCTCTCTGTCCCGAAACTCCACAATTTTCCATTGCTATGGCACTTTACTGCCTCTTCACTATATACCCAGGAAGCAAGGCTGATGGATTAGCATCGCATCCAAACCAGAAACTGGCATCATGTCAAGACTCACGCGATTTACAACAACTGCTAAGTAAATTGGGATACTTTTTTTAGTTCCTACTCTTCCTTTTTAAAAAATAAATCTTAAGAAAATACAATCCCAAAGGCCTAACAGGCACACATTTACAGATGGCAGCAGTGGGTCATAAATGACATCTTCTCCTCGTACTATTTATGAGAGCCAAATAAACTGAACATATTATGAGCCATTTATAACATTCTTCACCAGAACAGTCAGCCAAGAGACAGAGCTGAAAGCTTGTTGTAACAAAAGGTATCAAAGTGAGGAGGAGAACAGTATCTATAATTACTACTCTGGTGATAAAACAAGCATAGTACAGCAGATGGGTTTAACACGAGATCACTATTAAATAAAACACTGGCTCCAATGCCAAGGAATGAATATTCAAGAGGGAGTGAATTGAGTGAAAGCGTATAAAGGCAGCAAACACAGCTCAGCTAACCTAGAAGTTACTTGCAACTCTAACCAGAAAGATGAAAAACCACCTAATTCTCCACGTTGGCTGAACAGCCCCTCTGCCGTCAAACCCCTTCACTATTAGGTATTAATCAACGCTTACACAAACGACAGGACTGAGCACACTGATGGCACAGCATCCTGACCATGTACCACCGATAACAAAAGATGTAAAACTCAAACCAAACCAAAACTAAAACCTGACAATATCAGTTTGTCGAGCTTTTTCACTTACCACTTTATAAACTTTTCAGTTCTTCATCACAAGCATACTCTAATCCATCTTTTTGGCAGCTTCATAGTTGTAGGACATTGTTTGACAAAACATGAGCCAAACTACAATCTAAAAAAAGGTTTTTCATTTTTAGAAGTTTTGAAAAATACTTCATGGTCAGAAGTAAGGCTGGAATTAATTAAAGTGAATAAGGCAGCACCGTGGAATATGGAGCTACAATGCTCATGCTTTAGAGCAGGGCTCCAACTCTCAGTGGGTTTGGAAGCAGTAGAAAGGATGCCACCACTAACAAGGCATGTCAAGTAACTTTTTTTTTGTCAACTTGCAGGGTTTTTGCAATTAATTCTTTCTGTAAAATGTAATTTCAGTATTAACTATGTAATATCTTCTTTAGTTTGAGACTCAACACCTCAAAGACACCATTCAAAAGCTTGACACTCACCTAATCAGCTCTCCAAGATCATTTAAACCATGCTATAACATGAACAAGGAGAGGACAAACAGTAGAAACAGCAGAAGATACAAATTCAGAACCAATGTATACAATTACAATGCAATTTCAGAATAAAAAGGCACCGAACATCATAAAGGATGCAAACCTAAAGTATCCAAACACTTTCGCAGCGACCCAACCATAATCCTAAAGACTCGGGCTGCATCGGACAAATCCCTCCGCAGATACTGTGGTTGGAAATACAAACCATTCGCCGCCGACTCTCAAGCTGCCTGGAATCCCAGCAGGTTACCTGAATTACGGGGAAAACGTGAGTGGGGCCTGATAAACTACACAATGTTTAAAAGTTATTTTTAAAAAAATCTATTTAAAGTAAACAGTCCTGCAATCCTTAAATTAACAGCCTTTACACACTTCAAGAACTAACAGATGGGAGACACAGTCTTGGTGATACGTATGCATGTGCATGCATACACACATATACATACCTATATATATATACATATGTCACCAACAACAGCAATGGAGTAGTTGTTGCCTTGTCTTGATTTTACACCGTTGCACACGCTGATGTGTTATAAAGGATCGGTGATACAACCCCCAGACGTAGTAACAAACCCTGCCTTGCCTAAACCCTTAGCTTCTGATTATGCTGGGGAAGAAAATTTTATCTTGGAAAACTGGGAACCTGTGCTTTAAGGCTTGCCAAATGATTAATATATATTTAATGGATGATTAATACATATTTAATGGATGGCCCTTGGAGACTGTAACCTACAATTTACTAATTTAGAGAGGGATGAGAAAGTAACGTTAAGGTGTGGCTCCCCCTTTATCTTATCACTACACTCATATGTATGCTTTGTATGGAAAACTTTATTTGATAATAAAAATAGCATTCACAGACTTTCTCCTTCTTTGTTGCTACATCATATACATAGTGTCTGTTCCAAGGAAAGAAGCTCGTACTGGGTAAGTCCACGTCTACTCATACTAGTGTTATGTATAAACCCAATCAGTCAAATAAAGCTATGAACAATGTAGTATTTATATATGCATAGTGTTTTATAAAAAAGATTGGCCCACATACTGCTTTTCATCAACACAGAAAAGAGCATTATGCCTATAGCACGTTGCAAGAAATGATTGAAGAACATAGACTGCATACAAGTGCTTAATAATACATAAGCAGGCCCACCATGAGAAAAGAAATTATATTCAAACCAACAAAAGCTTTAGAATTACTTATATAGTCTCCCATTTTAAAACAGCTTTACATACCTGATTCAGTTTACATTAAAATATATCCCCTGAATCAATTTGTTCCATTTTCAGAAATATAAACACTTAATCACATTCCTCACAGCTAAATTTTGTCATAAATCCTCTTTTATACAAGAAAAAGGCAACAGTTTTGTGGTTTTTTCCAACAGGCTCTATTAATTACAATTTCAACTGTACACACAATGATCGGCCATCTTCTTTCTTGGTTTTGTTTTTACAGTACCATGGCAACAACAGTGATAGACTTGCAATGTTTTTGTGTTCATATGGGAAATGTGGAACAGTATACATGTACACACCAATGCACTGTAAAAAGCAGCAGTTTACTTCAGTGGTCCAACAGTAACGGCAAACATTTTGGCTCAGCTAGGCAGTAATCCATGAAAATCTTATACCAATACTACAGCAGACTTACCACACAACTTGCAAATTTAAAAATACAACTTCGAAACTTGCAGGTTTCCCTTCTGCTGCTGTTCTTAGATTCAAATCTACAGCATATAACCAGTATGGATAGGCTTCTACAACCAGGTTTGTCCCACTGATTGCCTCTTTTTGCATTTTTTTTTTTTTTTTTTTTTCCCAGCAAGTGCACTCCTTTTGTCTCAGTTAGGGATGAACCAGTAAAATAAAAAACTTAAATACAGAGCGAGAAGAAAAGAGAGCTTTTGGAATTTGCCAAAATAAGAAAAGCCCACTGGTTTTGCCTGAGCAGAAGGAATACACCTACTCCGAGAGGGAGGCCTTTGCTCCCACCACATTGTGCCTTGTCCCAGGATCCCGATCCCTTCCCTTTCTTCAAAGCAGACAAACAATACCATGCATGCTCGGGTTGCTGTCCATATACATCTAGAAGATGAGTAGGGCTGCGGCGGCTGCCTTAATGAAATATCGTTAAATGTTGCTGAGGCTAATGAGAGATCAACAGTCTACGTTAGTGTGTGACACAGGCATGGTGGTTACCAGTCTTTCTGCCTCTGCGCATCCTTGTAGAGGGGGCCTGAAAGTATAAACCGTTCACGGAACAAACTAGAAATTCCTTATCGCAAATCATCTTGTGCTGTGTGGGTTTGTATTTTTTTTTATTTTATTTTATTATTTATTATTATTATAAATATCCTTCATTGAAACAGTAGTCTCTTCAAACAGTTCTTGCAATTTTAGGAACATTTGTCTCTTTTAATTCCTTCATTTCAGCAGGAGCGCTCCATTCCTACTGAGATGAACCATTTTCTTCCTTCCCCACCCCCAACCCTTAAAAAATTTTCTACATACAGTGTAGCAGTGAGTCACTAGAGAACAGTCTGGATCAAATTATTCAAACTTGGTCATAAAATCCTTTGCCTATATTATATTACTGGCTACCCCCATTTACTATAGTGGGGAGGGGGGAAAGTAGCCCAATAAAGGAATTATTCTTAAGAAATCTACAAAGAATGTAGAAACAAAATTTCATAATCCTTTAGGACCAACATTTGGCAAGTAATTAAAAAAAAAGAATACACTGAAAAATACTTTCTTTAATATTATACATCAGGCACAACACTTTTTTGTTTGTTTGTTTGTTATACGATTTCATCTGCATAAAAGGTTTGTAGGACCAGCAGGTGCCGGACGTCTCCTCGCCTGCGAAAGCCGGGTGGGTTTCAGCTCCCGCACTCTCTCCTCCGCTCCCGTGGCATGGGGAAGGCGACGGGGACCCGGAGGAGCCCCTCAGATGCTGAGGTCGGTGCTGCACTCCTTGTACGGCCGCCTGCGCTGCTCGGGCGGGTG